GGCCTCACTGGCGCTCCGTCCAGGAGCGGCCACGGCGGTGTCCCTGTGCTGGGGCGTGGGGCAGGCCCGGGTGCACAAGCTGCTGGGGTCCCAGGAGGGAGCGTTGGCAGCGTCATGGCAAAGGACCCGGGGACACCAGCCGCCACCAGCTCAGCTGCTCCGCTTTCTCGTCCCGAGACTGCTTTCGCCGTGAGCCCTGGGGGAGGCCGTGGGTGTGCCAGGCCCACCTGCACGGCAGGGCTGGCCAGGAAAGCCGCGGGCAGACGTCAGGCAAGGACGCGAGCACTTCCTGGGGCCCTGCTGTCATACAGGGTGCAGATCGGAGGGCCCAGAGGCTGGGGTGCACTCCCGCTGGCCGTGGGGAGCGGCGGGCCGGCTCAGGGCTGGGCTTCCCCTAGATGATGTGGGCTGAGACCAGGGGCCACCTCCCTGCTGCCCGTCAGGTTCCTGGATCCGCTGGCCGCCTCTTGGGGGGCTCCTGGGACTGGTGTTTGGGGTCTGGCACATGGAGGCATCCTGGCCCAGGGAAGTGACAACCCTGGGGGCTTGCTTAGGACGGTGTCCCAGGTCACTGCAGGAACAGGGAGGAGGTCCTCGGCAACCCACATCCTGTAGCCGCCAAGCTCCGAGCCTGTGTCCGGGCCTGGGAGCCTGTCTCGGTCCTCAGAGGTGCCCCGTGCCTCCCCAGGGACAGCTGCCCTGCTGCACGGTCCCTCTACACCCTGCTCTTCCCACACCAGTAACCCCACGGCATGACATGGCGAGTGACTGACCCTGGGGACTCAGGGGGCGGCCTCTGACCCTGAGGACAGTGACCAGGCCAGGCCCGACAACCACATTGCATTGCCAGCGGGAGGAGGGCTGTTCTGGGGCCTGGCGGAGTTAGCTGCTGCATCCGTGGGGCCAGGTGTGGTCACCTGTGCGCCCTGCCCTGGGCTCCGTACCTACTGCGGGTCTAGGCAGCAACGTGGCGCCTCCCTCACACACTCGACCACGCGGCCCACGGCAGCCTGCCCCGCATACTCGACCCACAGCATAGCTGGCACCTCGTCCCTCCCTGCGGATGGGACGGGGTGCCCACAACCTGCCCTGAGTCAGTGGGCAGCACCCTCCACTCAGCGGGAAGACACCTTCCCTCCCCACGTGCGTGCCCACCTCTCCAGTCACTCGGCCCCACACCTGCCCACACTCCAGGTGCAGGCACCTCCTTGGAGCTCCAGCCCCTCCGGCTCCTGCTGCTGCTCCTCTGCCAGGACTGCCCGACCACCTCTTCCCGCCACCTCCCACTTCAGTGAGGACCAGCTGCGAGCCGGCTCCTGCAAAGGTCACTGCGTGTGCTCGGTCCCCGGGCTCAGAGGCTCTCCCTGGATGCCCAGGACCCTGAACACTGACAAGGGCCTAGGCTCAGCCTGAGCCCCCTCCCGGAGACCCTCGTCCTCCTGGAGCCTTTCGCTGCCAAGTCTCCCTTAGGGGTGGTGGGGGCTGTCCGGCCGTCCCTGACAGTTCTGCAGGAGGCCAGTCCCTGTCACCTGCCAGCTGGCGAGGCTCACCAGGGCCTGCATGTCGTACATGGTGCTCAGGTGGTCCCAGATGACCTTGGACGGGACCTGCCGCCCGATGTTCTGGCTGAACTTGTCGCGGATACAGATCATGTGGAAGTGCCGGTTCACACCTGCGGGAGGGGCAGGCCTGCAGCTTAGGCAGGTGGGCACCTGGGGGCCCCAGGTGGGCTCTGAGGGGGTGTGGGGGGCGTCCAGGGGATGTCAGCGCAGGGTCCAGGGAAGTGTCCTGGGTCTTCCAACGGGGTGGGGGAGTCCA